ACTGGCTTCGCTTCACTAAGATAAAATGTTTTTACTTTTATAAATGGTTGCAGAAATGCAGAAAGCCAGTAAGATTTGCTCAATACATTTTTTGAAATAAGCAAACTTGCCCTGGCTCTCTCCTCAGCAGACACTGTATGGTAGTCGCAATACTTCTGCTGCACAGCTAAGCTCTGCCAAAATGTTATTTCAGTTACAAAAAATGGACACCTTGCGAATATGTCCTCGTTATTTACTATTCCTCTCTCACATCCTCCTAACAACGTGATAGCAGAAATGGTTTTATAACTAGAAGTAACACAGCTGTGACTACACACAAACAATCTAGAAAGCAACAATGTGTTGTTATGCCTCAGGGAATTAACCTTCACCTTTTAAGAATAAAAGGTTCTTATCCCCGACTGAGGTCTTGTTGAGCTCCTCTGGCAGTCTCTCTGCTACATTTCACATTGAACTCATTAAAAAAACAAAAACTTAAGAGTAACAAGCTACCTATTCAGTTCATTTTAAAAGCACGTTAACAGCCCCATGTATGTCAAGTATCAGGAGGTAGCCGTGTTAGTCTGTATCCACAAAAACAACAGGGAGTCCGGTGGCACCTTAAAGACTAACATTTATTTGGGCATCAGCTTTTGTGGGTAAAAAACCCACTTCTATGAAAGCTGATGCCCAAATAAATATTAGTCTTTAAGGTGCCACCGGAGTCCCTGAAGCCGCATAAATGTTTATTCTTTAGTTACCAGCTCAGCATAACTGTCAACATTAATATCTGAGCAATAAAAGCTTTTGTTAAAGCAAAGTTTGTTAGTGAATTCAGTGCATGTGCAAGTGAGGGACAAGTAGGGTTGGTTGAAGCAGGCATCCCATGGGTTTGAACCATGCAAGTTTCCCCACATACAGTTACGCCCGTGCATTGGAGTCATGATCTGCAGCACACCCAGTTATACCAGTCCTGCACCCCTCTCACTGGCTCTGCCAATGTCCTCCAAGCCTGACCTGCAACACTTTCTATCATGTCCCAGATATTCCAATCCTAGGCCACTCTTGAGCAGATTGAATCATTACAGACCAGGGTGAGACAAAATCACTTTCACCAATGACTAAGACAAGAATTGAATCTAGCTCTCGAGCTGAAAATCCAGCCTTACTCCACCAGCAACCAGAATACAAAAGCATTGATATGGCAAGAATGGGATCACTTGTTCCCCACAAATGAATCCCAGCTATTTTATACAGAATCTAACAGGGGACTACAGCTATCAACAAGCTTTACCTTGGGCAGCATGGATTTAGGGTTGTAATGCCTTTCACCTTCAGGTCACGGGTTCAAATGTGCCCCATGTCAGCTGTTACTGAGTAAAGCTGGCTGAAGACTTCACTCAAACTGTCAACCAGCCCCTGTCATCAGCACTCAAAGTTTCTCTTAATAGGATTCGAAGAGGCTAATGGTTCACACTCATGAAAATTGTAAGTGCACACAATAGACAGAAGATAGTTTTTTTTTTTTTTTTTTGTATGATCATCTGACCCATGGCTCTTTCCTCAGAACTGTTTCTAACCACAGATATCTAGAGCAATTGCTCAACATGCGGACTTCCCCAGACCATCCTTCTAAGTTCTTGGCAGTATTTATTTCCATTTCCCTGGTTTTAGACTCTAATTTTTCTTCAGAAAAAGACTCAAAGGGACTTGGCCCAACAGTCCTTGCTCAGGCAGATCTCCTATCGAGGTCAGTGTGAGTTCTGCTTGAGCAAGGACCACTGCTTCAGGTCTAAGGTCATCCATTTTATTTTTACTACCATCTTCTCTCCTTACTGACTACCAGCCCCCTTTGAGATGTTTGAATTTGCAAAGGATTATTATACCTGCTGGCATCAGACACTGATTTGGCTTTAGGGGAAAGAAAAAAAAAATATCAAAGAATTTGATTTGGAACACACCCCACAGAGAAGCACATGAATTTGGAAAACAAATACAGAAGAAAAGACAACATTTTAGGCCTTCGAACTTTGCAAGTGCTTGAATATAACAATACGGCATGAATTGTTATTGTGGATATAAATGCCTGTCAAAGCATCTTAACAGTGGTGTTTATTGTGATATAATCCAACTCAAGAATGCTATTGCAACTGCACTATATATTCCCCACTCCCACCTTTTTAGTACACGTTGATCTTTGAAAAAAAATGTTACACAAGGGCAGGACATCAGAAAGATAGTTCCCTACTGTCAACTTTTTCGGGCCAAATTCTCCTAATTTGCACCCTTTAAATCCCATTAACATTGGGGCTGCTCAAAAGCAGAATTTGGCCCTATTTCTATTAAATGAACTGGATGACATGATGGGGAGGGGAGGGGAGAGGGGCCAGGCCCCGATCAGTGAACCAAATTCTCCCCTCAGATGTACACATGTAGTTCCCACTGGTTTAAGTGGGAGTGGTCCAGATAACCAAATAGCCCCGATTTTATTGCTACTTTAAATACAAACTAGAAATGCTAGGTTTCGGGAGATTACAGGCATTCCTGTAAAGCATTTTTTTATGAATATAAGTGGTCCCCTTTTGTGCTTCTTCCTCCTCAACCTGCAAGAAAAATTACAGGATGTATTTGTTTTTTACAACTGGGGTAAATCTAAGGGTTTTTTTTGCCACTTAAAACCCAGTAATTTAAAACTGGAAATGTTATTTGGAACACTCATTTTGACAGGAGAGAGAAAGAGAGCGAGCTTGTGACCCATATGTAAACAATTGTGGGAGTCATGCTGTCAGCAAGTTGAGTTCAGCCAAATGAGTCCCCTGATGGGGCAATGCTATTCCCGCACAGTAGAGGCAAGAAAAGGAATCACGGTCATGTGAAGGTCTGGGTGTGGTTTTGGGTGGTGCTTTGGTTACAAATAACAATGTTTCTGAACTGGTGAGACATGTCTCTGCACTGAGGAAGTGAAAGCCCTCCTGGCACATAATCTCAGGCATGTCAGCTCTAATGTGGATACACCATTCAAAACCAGCTATGTTAACCAGGTGCAGCAAACACTGAATTTCCTTCACTGCTTGTCAATCCCCTTCATGTGGCCTGAGAATATGCACCAGCTGTTGCTTTGTTGGACAGGTTACAGGCTAGGCTAATCAAGAAATCCTGTAAAGATGCCTTAGATTCCCAAGCTAATTAAAGATTCCTTAAGTATTTATCACTGGGTACATGTCAGGATGAGCTGTCTGGCATCAGAGCCGAATGTTCATTCATAAACTTCTTTGAGTCCAATTTTGCATGGAAGGATTGTGTTTAGTATTCTTCCCAGTGTCTCAGAGGTTGTCCTTAATTTCACTAGTTCTTTATCCCCGGCTCTTGTAATTTTTCTTCTCTTGGATCCTTAAGAAATTCAGTGTAGCTATGTGAACACAATGCTTTTGTTTTAGCCTATACAGCAAATGCCAGAAGCTTATTTTGTACCTTTCCTTAAAGATTGGAAGTCTTTTCTCATGAGTGCACACATGCTCAGTTGCACCTCCATATATCAGTGACACTATAGAAGCTAGTGTTCAATATGTACCCTAAAACACACTGTACTTTTGAGAAATTACTGCGTATCTATTTCTATGATCTAGAGACCGGTCAAATGCTGATGCATAAAGCCAACTTTTAAAAAAAGTTTATTGAAAGGTTTGAAAAATATGTGATATATCAGCAATATGTAACAAGTTTCCAAAGCGTTAACATGAAACATTGGGATTTTTAAAATGTCAGTATACGCTGGATTATACTATGTTACATCAGTTTTAGTTCTTCAATAACTTACATTTTCCTTTTTCTTTTTTTTAAGTTTTGGAGATCACCAACTCATTTTTCCTTTCAAAGGAGTAAGTTACAAATCTTAGGCCCTGTCTACATATGAAAGGGTTTGCCGGTATAGTTACACCAGCAACCCGCACGCTAGTAGAGATGCAGTTTGTCTCAGTAAAAGAGGTCTTTTGCTGATACAGTTTAAACCATTTCCACAAACAGAGTAAGCTATACTGGCAAAAGGAGTTTTTTGCCAGTATAACTGCATCTACACTAGGGCTTTTGCCAGAATAGCTGTATCAGTAAGGGGTGGCGGAAGAATAATGCCTCTAACTGACATAGCTATCAGAGTGGTAGCCGTGTTAGTCTCGTTTTTGCTGATATAGACTAATCAATTAAGGTGGGCTATTATTTTTTCCTCCTGCTAATAGCCCACCTTAATTGATTAGTCTCGTTAGAGTTGGTATGGCAACCCCCATTTTTTCATGTTCTCTGTGTGTGTATATATATCTTCCTACTGTATTTTCCACTCCATGCATCCGATGAAGTGGGTTTTAGCCCACGAAAGCTTATGTCCAAATAAATTTGCTAGTCTCTAAGGTGCCACAAGTACTCCTTGTTCTTTTTGCTGACATAGCTATGTTACCAAAAACATTTCAGTATAGACCAGGTCTTAGTAACCTGCTTGTGTACGGCCAATTAGGAGAGATGGGTCTTGGGAGTGGGGGTGGGGTGGGGCATTCTTACAATTAGATAAATTCTTAAAGTATTAAAATACAACTCACTGTTTGGGGTTTTTTGTTTAAGCAAAGCTGTTAAGAAAACAGGATTAAGTATCTTGTCCGAAGTGAAAACTGAAGCATAAATCCACCAGGTTACTTTCATGATTGTAGCTCTTTCTATTCAGCTGTGTAGCAATCCACAGATTTTTGTCATCAAGGTGGCTTTCATAGGCAAAACTATGAAGAAATTTCACTCAGAGCCAAATAATGCAACTGCCCGTGTATGTTAGATTAATTTTAATAAGAAACATAAGTCAAATTTAGAGGGAGTAGTTACATACGGTTTTAGAGATTACATTTTATGAAATGTACATTGAAAACTTAAGTTCCACAATTTGCTCCATGTAATGAATGATATTTACTATTATAAAAAAAGCACAAATAAAAAAGGTGCTAAAATGCTAGGTTTGAGCTTTTTTTTTTTTTTTTTTTTTAATTAAACAACAACTGCTGTTCTATATAAGGCTCATTTTTACTTATTTTGCCTTACCATTTTCTCAAATGGTTTATTTTTTCACTTCCTATCCAGCAAAGCCTTCTGTCCATTCTCATTCATTTTAGTAAATTTATATACTAAATCTTAAAATTAAAGGCTCTACTCTGTTCCTTTTCTCAATTATTGCATTTTTAAATAGGGAAATGTATCTTTTTCCAAAACAAAATATGTTTCTATAGCTCAGAAAGCAAACAGGTGTTCGAAAATTGAATACTTTGTCGGCTAAAAAACCCGTAAGCAACTTTAAACAGTGATATAACCATTATACTGTAAATTCAAGTGAAAAACAAAGATCTAAAGCTGTCTGAACATACTCAGGGGTGTCACAAATTTTGCTGGTCCAGACGGAATTCAACCAATATTCTAGTTAACAAAACATTTACAAACTGAACATGAATTTATATTAACACAATATTAGCGTGATTTACACCATTACCAGAGAGTTTAAATCTGCTGCTTTATGCAGAGTGCTCTCACCTTGATTTGACAAAATTAAACAGACCAGGGCAACATGCAAAAACAAAACAAAAAAAGACATTAGCCCATGAATCAGAGGACTGCAGGGTAGGTAGAGCATGGGAATTAATACATCTCCCATTGTTACCCCTGACTGCACAAACACTAACAAGCGCAAGACAACCATGAAAGTTCAATAGAGCTTCTTTGAAATCCCACACTTAATCAGTAAGACACAGATTCCTCTGCAAAAATATGCTGTAGACTTCAAGATTAGCAGAGAACCTCCATCCCTTTTAATGGTCTATGCAGAGATACATGAAGATGCTAGGATTTGAACAATATGGTTATGAGAGACTGCACCACAGAGAACATAAATGTAAACATTATAACTGAGTTTGATTTTTAGTAAAAGTGATTGCAGTACAAACCCTTTTTTCAAACTACTTGTTTTCATAAAAGCATGTACAATAAAATATGTACATAAACAGGTTAGAAACATTTGAAAGACTCTTAAAAAAGTACATACAAGACTTAAAATATCTTGAAGTGTGCTGAAGGCACCATCGCTACTATGCTGGGAATGTGTCCTGTTTCTGATCAGCCTATCAGTGCAGTATCCCTTTTCTCCCTACTCAAAATTAAATCCTGAAAGGAGCACACTTATCTTCAATGGGCATGAAGAGCATTCAGATCCTAATACAGAATGTGAGACTAACGTAATTAGTGGTTCAAAAGAATAACAATACAGCCATCCTAGAAGAGACTCTGCTTGTTGAGTCAACAATGAGCACTTGATGAAAAATCTGTAGTTTACAACCTCAAATGCTGCTGCTTATCCCAAAGGGTTAAAAAGAGAGAAGAAAAAACCCAAACCTTTTCTAAGGGTCACAAACATGCTCAAAAAGCAGGGAACTGCTCAGGCATAATTAGCTCATCAACAAAAAAGTATGCCACTTTACCAGTTTGTTCACCCAGGCAGTTGTCAATGCTGCCTATGGGGACCCTAAATGATGTTAGTTCAAATGGACAGAAAGAAAAAGGGTTCTCAATACTTACAAAACTATCTCTATTTTTGATAGTAAGTTGTATCTGAAGAGCATCTGTATAGTGGTTCTTTCCCCTAATTGTTGCTATATTTTTATGGAAAGGCAAAATATTTAAGTAGTTCACCTGATGGGAAGACATTTTGACTACCATGCATTCATTTAAGTTAACAAAGAGCATTTTAAAAAGAAAAAATCCTTTGAGTTTTAGATGAGAAGTCTTAACCACGGAATTACAAATCTACCAAATTAACGAATATTTTAACGCCATTTTTCTATTATGTATCTGGGTACAACCTATAATGCTAGTCTGCAAATTACTTGTTACAATTGTGTTTGAGGTGGTTTGTAGATCTGTGTGTTGATATTGATTAAAAATACCAATCCATTATAAATTTAAAAAAAATCAGATACTAAATTCTTCCACTCCTATTCTCAGGAGACAGGAAGCAACATGATAATTTCTGGTCATCAGCAGAGCAGACTGATAGGAGTGAGGTACATCACTATTTAAAAATATATGTATTGGTCTATTCCCCCTAGGCTGAACAAACATTTTTATACAAGGGATACTGCCATTTTAAGTTCCCATGCGTCTCATTAGGTGTCGACATTCAAAATTCTTCTTCAACAGCAAAGTGATTTTGCTTCTTCCGAACATTCCAGTGTAAACACTCAGCCAGGCTTTCAAACCAGTCACTCACAGGATCTCGGAAACAGATCGAAGGGAGGGGATAGCAAGAGGTAGTGATGCTAATACTGAAATACAGGAATACCCTCAGTTAGTAAAGAGGGAGGATAAATAGTAGTAAAACTGTACATTTGTGGTTACAGAATCAAACAGTCCTGGATTCCCAGATTTATCTATCTTTCTTTCTATTTTTTTAACTACACCCTTGGGACACTGGCTACATCACTAAGCATTCAATCCTTTGGAGAATGGTCAGTTTCCAAAGTCTGGGGGTGACAAAGATGGGGCACAGTGCCTAAATAATACAATGAGCAGAGTGCTTTACAAATGTTGAGAGATTCTGTAAATCAAAGCTCTTGGGAGCAGAGGGTTCTAGGCCAACCTGCCTTGCCCGTGATCCTCTCTCATCTTACCCCTTGCTGGGGTTTAAGCACCTCACCTTCAGACCAACTCAAAATTTAACACCTTAAAATATTAAACTGTCACCATGATCCTCAAATTTCAAAAATAAGGGCAGCAAATACTAGAGTAACTTTTCTACTAAAGGACCAATCACCAAATCTAAGATTGGGATCTCCGAGTCTTGCTGTTCACCTAATCTGTCCGTCCCCTCCATTTTTCAAGTGGTCAGGGCAATTCAGAAGACTCCAAGTGCAAGAGCCTGGCAATTTTCCAATTCCCTGCCTGCCCACAAATATGAAACAAAGGCAGTGTGTCACACAGCATGACTGGTCTACCACGGAAAACACCACACTGAGCAGAAGACAATTTGGGTTTTTTTCTTAGCGTATCCTCTCTGGGCTCTCACATTTCATTGTATCTATCAAGAGGTTAAGTCCTTTCAGCCACAGCACTGTGTCTCATGAGCTGCAGAATCCTGTCACTGAACGTAGCAAGAGTCCATCAATGCATCTGCTGTTGTATACGTTTGAGCACAACAAAGGGATGCATCTGCTTTTTATGATGTTTTAATCAGCTTCGCCAATGGCACAAGACACAAACATGGTCTTATCCTGAGAGGTACAGAGTACATGAAACTCACATTCACCTCACTGGGCTCAACAGGTCTCATGATCAGGACCATAAGTTGAAGTCCACAGAATTCTTTAAGGACATGCATTAAGTAATGTGTGTATGATTTTTCCTGACACTTCCTTTGCTTTTAAAATGTGATTGAAAAAATTTTTTTTTCAAGTGAGAAAATGCCTGAAACAATATAGCATTTTTAATTCAGCTTGAAATTTAAACAACAAGGAGTCTGGTGGCACCTTAAAGACTAACAGATTTATTTGGGCATAAGCTCTCGTGGGTAAAAACCTCACTTCTTCGGATGCATAGAGTGAAAGTTACAGATGCAGGCATTATATACTGACACATGGAGAGCAGGGAGTTACTTCGCAAGTGGAGAACCAGTGTTGACAGGGCCAATTCAATCAGGGTGGATGTAGTCCACTCCCAATAATGGATGAGGAGGTGTCAATTCCAGGAGAGGAAAAGCTGCTTCTGTAATGAGCCAGCCACTCCCAGTCCCTATTCAAGCCCAGATTAATGGTGTTAAATTTGCAAATGAATTTTAGTTCTGCTGTTTCTCTTTGAAGTCTGTTTCTGAAGTTTTTTTGTTCAATGATAGTGACTTTTAAATCTGTAATAGAATGACCAGGGAGATTGAAGTGTTCACTTACTGGCTTATGTATGTTACCATTCCTGATGTCCGATTTGTGTCCATTTATTCTTTTGCGGAGGGACTGTCCGGTTTGGCCAATGTACATGGCAGAGGGGCACTGCTGGCACATGATGGCATATATAACATTAGTGGATGTGCAGGTGAATGAGCCCTTGATGGTGTGGCTGATGTGATTGGGTCCTCTGATGGTGTCGCCAGAGTAGATATGGGGACAGAGTAGGCAACGAGGTTTGCTACAGGGATTGGTTCCTGGGTTGGTGTTTCTGTGGTGTGGTGTGGTGTGTAGTTGCTGGTGAGTATTTGCTTCAGGTTGGGGGGTTGTCTGTAAGCGAGGACTGGCCTGCCTCCCAAGGTCTGTCAGAGTGAAGGATCATTTTCCAGGATAGGTTGTAGATCGTGGATAATGCGCTGGAGAGGTTTTAGCTGGGGGCTGTATGTGATGGCCAGTGGTGTTCTGTTATTGTCCTTGTTGGGCCTGTCCTGTAGTAGGTGATTTCTGGGTACCCGTCTTGCTCTGTCAATCTGTTTCCTCACTTCCCCAGGTGGGTATTGTAGTTTTACGAATGCTTGATAAAGATCTTGTAGGTGTTTGTCTCTGTCTGAGGGGTTGGAGCAAATTCGGTTGTATCTTAGGGCTTGACTGTAGACAATGGATCGTGTGATGTGTCTTGGATGGAAGCTGGAGGCATGTAGGTACGTATAGCGGTCAGTAGGTTTCCGGTATAGGGTGGTGTTTATGTGACCATCACTTATTTGCACTGTAGTGTCCAGGAAGTGGATCTCTTGTGTGGACTGGTCCAGGCTGAGGTTGATGGTGGGGTGGAAATTGTTGAAGTCCAGGTGGAATTCTTCAAGAGCCTCCTTTCCGTGGGTCCATATGATGAAGATGTCATCAATGTAGCGCAAGTAGAGGAGGGGCACTAGGGCTCATTCACCTGCACATCCACTAATGTTATATATGCCATCATGTGCCAGCAGTGCCCCTCTGCCATGTACATTGGCCAAACCGGACAGTCCCTTCGCAAAAGAATAAATGGACACAAATCGGACATCAGGAATGGTAATATACATAAGCCAGTAAGTGAACACTTCAATCTCCCTGGTCATTCTATTACAGATTTAAAAGTCACTATCATTGAACAAAAAAAACTTCAGAAACAGACTTCAAAGAGAAACAGCAGAACTAAAATTCATTTGCAAATTTAACACCATTAATCTGGGCTTGAATAGGGACTGGCTGGCTTATTACAGAAGCAGCTTTTCCTCTCCTGGAATTGACACCTCCTCATCCATTATTGGGAGTGGACTACATCCACCCTGATTGAATTGGCCCTGTCAACACTGGTTCTCCACTTGCGAAGTAACTCCCTGCTCTCCATGTGTCAGTATATAATGCCTGCATCTGTAACTTTCACTCTATGCATCTGAAGAAGTGAGGTTTTTACCCACGAAAGCTTATGCCCAAATAAATCTGTTAGTCTTTAAGGTGCCACCAGACTCCTTGTTGTTTTTGTAGATACAGACTAACACGGCTACCCCCTGATTCTTGAAATGTAAGGGTCATGATGGCCTATCATAAAGCCCTCAATCATTTGCCTATTATAACCCAAGTTTGAAAGTGTGGCCGCAGATACTTGTGTCAATATTATGAAGGAAGGTCATAATAATCAAAGAAAAATCTTTACCTGTCTCCATGGCAGACTTCCTGTCTCTTCCTCCCATCAAATGAAACCCATGCTGTGTTCCTGGCATCAGGGGACAGCATGATCTGAGGAAGAGAAAAGCAGAAGACTCAAGAATGAAATAATAAGAGCTTTTGTAGCTAAAGGGCAAAGAGGAAGCACTCCCCTGAATATTACACTTTTGTTATTACTCTTCAGTGATCTAATTGTACTGAAATTTAGCTTCCTCTCCTGCCATTTTTTACTGAAAGGTTTGGCATATTATGAATAAAAGTTTAATATTTTATATACAATTTACTTCATGTGCAACATATATGTCCCCTTGTTATATGTACATTGGAGCCTTTTCCTAATGATGGCAATAAGCTGATTTACCAAAGGCATTCCAGTTACAAAAGACTTTAGCTTGATATAAAAGTCAATACATGACCCAATTCAATGAGATGAGATTATGAGATTCTCCACAGAACAGAGTCTAATCTGCATTCTAGAATAATAAATTTGAATTTTGATGCAGGGTGAATCTAAGGCTTGCAAATTTAAGACAGTTTTTCTTTTAAATAAGAGATGCCATGAAGTGATCAACTACCACCATAACAGCATTATCATCTACTGTGTAGATAATTGTGGGTTTATAGAGATGCCATTAATAAGCAACAAATCCATGAAATAAAAACTTACCATTTCTTTAAACTCCACCCAGCATGCTCACTCTCCTGGCCACATTTTCTGCCCCACACCCCTCTAAGAAATAGCCCAAGACTTCCATATTATAGATTACTATACAACTGTTTCAGTTATATAAATTAATAAACACAAAACACCTGGCATTTTTTTGAACTCAAAAATGTATTTGTGAAAACAAAATCCACTCTGTACCAAGACCTTGCCTGCCAAATTTTTCTGCAGAACTATATTTAAGCACAGTAGTAAAAGACAAAGAGTTTATAACAGATGTGCTAATACCACTTTCACTACACACCCGTGAAAGACTTTTGACACTAGGGTCTGATCCTTCACTGCCTTTCACCTTGTGTAGTCATCTACATCTATGCAAAATGGATATAAAACACTATTACTAATTAGAATGGTAGTGTATTTACACCCACTTTGCATAGGTACAGATGACTATATAGGGTGCAAGTCAGTGGAGACTCATGGTCTAGAAGTTTATTCTTCTAAACAAGTATACGTTGCTTCAAGAGTACTTGACAAAGTTCTACAGTATTCAGTCATGTTTTGGCATGGTGGATAATAATGAACACATTCAACAGTTATCTCCATAAGTTTCTAACTTTAAAAAATGAAGGAACACAATTTAACCTTGAGCTCAACTCCTGCAGGAACAACAATGGGTCTGAAGGACAGTGAGTGAGGGCAGATTGGGGTGATCATTATTGCAGGAACATTTGGATGAATCATTGATGCTCCCGCTGCAGCCGCATAAGCTGTGCTACCAGTTGGTGTGGAGACGATCACGCCTGTGAAGGGAACAAGAGTTTTATCCGTGTGGCTGCTTGGCTCGATGCTGTTATTTAAAAGGAGGCTAAGAAACAGGACTGTTGCACTTCCTTCATTTGAAAATACTTAAAAAAAAAAAAAAAAAAAAAAAAAGTTCTTTCTGACTTTAGTCATTAGCTGGATTTCTCCTCCACTCAACACAGGTGTAGTAGAGGCTGGAATTTTTAGCTAAATGCTTTAAAAGATTGCTTATAAAAAGTTAAATTGGTGAAATAGAAAGGCCTAAACCACCAACTCGCATTTCATATGACAGATGTGGTAATAAACACATGACCGCGAGCCAGAAACATCTTTCCCAATCCTAGCACTGACACAGACTACACCTCTACAGCCTTGGGCGAGTCATGTAAAACTACTGTGCCTCAGCTTGCCCCTTTGTATAATGCAGATAATATTTACTTTTCTTAGAGGGATAGGAGGATTAATGTTTCTGAAGAGTTTTGCAGGTGAAGTGCTAATATTAAATAAGTAGTGACTTCATCAAAAGATCTTAAGATTTCAGCAAACTCAGACATTCAACTCCAGGATCTTTCCCAACCGTCTTCCCCCTCCCCCCCTTGCCTTTTGTCCCTAATTCCCCTACACAAACAAGTGGTGACTTGACACTAGGCCTCCACATAATAAGATACCATCTGTAAGCCTCTTTTCTGCTTTCAGTGCTGCTCTATGGACTGCAACAATTGTCTAAATGAAACTCACCACTCCTCTGCACACCTAGTTTTCAACAACCCAGGAGCAGAAGCCAAGGCCTTGATTTCTACCTCATAAAACAACGCACCCTTTTTTAAAAAAGTAGGAGCAACCTAAATAAGAGCTGATTACCTCATACTGTTAAGGCAGGAACAGGCTGTAAGCTTTTTGATTATGAAATGGCCTTACCGTCACCTTGAACTGTGGTTATGAGATGTCCATCTAGAAAAACATCCACATTGGAAAGGTAGGAGGAAGGACCTCGATCCACAACAACTTCATTTAGGACCTGACATAATGTACAATACCACTAGTTAGTTATTTCCCTGGCAGCATAATATTTGACAAGTGATCAGTTAAGTATGTCTCCCAGATCTTTGAAAGGTTAACACCCCCCCCCCCCACCCCATTACAATGTCAGTCTAGCTTAGTCTTGGAGAGACATACTTTTGTTTTAGTGATCACCAGTTGTAAGGATTATTTGGTGCAGTGGATCAAAAATTACTTTCCAAAAGCCAGTTTCCATTAGCGTTGATAGATTTTCCCTTTGCTTATATGAATTAGTGGGAGATTCAGTGGTAAAGATTACTCTAAGTAATTTCTTGGTTTTCAAAAAGTAAGGAAACCTCTGGTGCAGATACAGAATATTACAAAAATTAAACACAATGAGGTTGCTTCTGCACACTCCACCCACCCTTTTTTCATTAGCTTTAGTAACCATTCTGGAAATTATGTGGAATCAGATATCATAGGTGTCATAATACTGGGTTAATATAATTGGGTGTAGATACAGTACACAAAAGAGAACTGGAGATTATCTCAAGTGAAGAGTGAATTATTTCTTAGTTCTTTTGCTTATTTCCCATTTTATGCTATTCAGACCTGATATTGCATGATGTGCTTGCCCATTTCCATCTCTAGACTTGTAGAGATCACTCCATTTTCTTCAATACCATTTTGTATCAATGTCTTCTTCTCTCTGTGTTCCTTTACTACTTTCACTTTCAGTCTGCTCCGGAGAACAAGCGCTGCATTGCCTATAAGAAAAAAATAAGTGAAGAAAAACAAATACCACACACACACACACACACACACACACTAGAGTGGCACCTACTACATTATCAGGAACTGCACTATTTTCACAGCAAGCTGGTAGCATTCACTGTGAAATGTTTCCCCCCATTTTTCAGTTGCTAATAACGTTCTCAAGTTTCTTTTGCAGGAGAATTTTCCATCCTTTGTCTTAATTAAAAATAAAAATTTTTTTGTAGGACTGAGCAAAACTTGAGTCAAATTTGAATAACAAGCATAAAAACCCACTTTCCCCCATATATTCTAATGAGAAATCTGAGAATTTACATGTACATAACCTAAAGCAGCTGAAGATAGAAACTTTGTAGTTGGCTTGTTTGATAATCCTCAGGGAGATGTAAGTAAGACAAGCATGAAGACAATCAGTTCATTTTTAAAAAGGTATGAACTATGAAAGACAACAATTTAGCAACATGAGAATTCTGTTAACATGTTTGGATGTCTTAATTTTGGGGTGCAAGCTGAGCAGCTGTATTTCCCAGCGACCAGTGGCATCAGTTTTTTTTATTTTATTTTATTTCAAACACAATTTAAATACCAAGAACTACTGTAAATGCAACTTTGAGGTTGAGAAATCAAGCACTTAAGAGTCAAACTTCAAAAGTTAAGAATTTTCCTTCAGTGCTAACTCAGTCACACACATTTTTCCATACTCCATGTAAACTTGAACGGTTTACTATTTAACATATCAATATAATTGGCTATATTAGAGTCACAAAATAACATTCTAGAAGAAACTTTAATTTTTTGCATTTTCTGACTTTTGGATGCTTGATTTCTTACCATTTTAACATGGTATTGTTTACAAAAACAGAGAAGTTACAGGTGGTTGGGTCATCTAGCGTATGTCCATGCCATTAGATCTAGGTTTTTGCATTTTATACTCAAATTGTGCAAAACATTAGTTCTATATTCTTTCCTTACACACCATAACCAAGAAGTGATTTCTGGACCATTCCAACTTTACAAATAAGTGAGGAAAACAATATTGAAAGTTAATAAAATATCTATGTATTTATTTTTGATAGTTCAGCTGAGTCCTATTTTAAAGAAAAACTCTAACAAGACAAATAAAGGATAACTCTCTAAAAAGCAGCAAAGACATTAGAAGACTTACCTTCTATAACTTGAGTAACTTGGGACTGAAAGTTCTCAAAGTTAAAGGGGGCAAGAAATCCAAGAGATCCCAGATGAAAAGCCATAACTGGAGGTACGCTACCCTGTCAATAGAAAGAAGAATTGGGAAGCTGTTAAATGTTGCACAAATCAAACAGTTATGTTATTTCCATGCTTTTTAATGTGTAAGAGGTACCATATTACAGCCCAATCTGTCTGCAAATATCTTAATTACGGGTTTTACTTCAGTTGTGCATAATAGTAAAAACAAAAGGTATAATTCACCTAAGTAGCTCTCATGCTTTTTGGATGAGAAGGGGAGACTTGGCAGGAGCAGAATAAAATAAACACAACATGGCAGAAAACTTCAAGACTGTTTCTAACATATAGAGGACTTGTTTAGGGAGAGGACCTCTAATAATTATTCCCTATAGGACTCACCTGAAAAAGTGAAGAAGCATAAAGCAAGGTACCATCTCCTCCCAGGCATATGATAAAGTCTATCTGATTGGAGATATCATCATAATCTAGAGGATAACATTGACAATAAAGGTTTAATTTACATAATGTATCAAAGGTTTAAATTTATGGATGTAAATTTGGTGCAGCACACTGATGCTAATTTACAAGTGTAAATAATTGACAGCAGGCTATCAAAACAACAGCTACATGGGTTTATCAAGAATAGGTTTCCATCAGACAATTCTGATTCATTTGAATGGATCACTAAGGAAACAGGATTAAAAGGCAGTAAACCTAGATTTTAAAAAAATCATTACTGTACCTTCTCTGAAAGTGCAAAATTTCTTCTTCACTGGTCCAAAATTATCATCATTAACTATGGCTGGGTCTTCTAGCACTTTTTTTTCTACATAAACTATCATGTTGTTCTCCTAAAAGAAGCATAATTATTTACTAAAAAAAAAATCTGCTAATGAAATGACAAGTGCCTGACCCTCAGCAATATTCTATTAGTTTAAAACACATAATGATGTAAAATATTACAAGACTGATTGCCTACTTCTGTATGTATTGTTACAATCCTGTAGCATTTAAGCATTACACTTATTGTCATATGAAGGCCACATAACGATTGAATTAATGACACTAAACTTTGGAATTTTCATTACATGCTTGTGATATGGTAATGTTTGCTAATATTTTTCTCAAGGCATAATGAAATGAATATTTTACCCTATACATCTATGTTAAAGAAGCAGATTCCTTTAAGCTAAATTAAGCTGAGCTCTTATAGCAAGAGAGTCACTTGTTTTAAAGTTTAACAATTTATTATTTCTGTTGTTCTCTATATGTATTGACTTATTTATTCATTCATTCATTATTTATTTGAATTACCTCAGTAAGATATACACAGAGTTCTTTAAAAGGCTGGAGCAGACTGGCATCGCGAATCTTTTTGATAACAAGGACACTCTTTGGAGGTTTGTTCCATGTCAACCGCTGACTTGCTGGGTCCTGAATATGCCTGTGGAGGGAAATCAACAGTATAATTATTATATGTGGGAAAATGGATTGTAATTTCATGACCATCAAGTTAACAGTCCCCTTTAGTCAAAGTATGCTGGACTAAAAGAGAGATGAATAAATCATGAAAAACCTTAATACGATAGCTAAATTTAATCTAGTAAAGAGATCAGATTGGCTACAATGCAACGCCACACCAGCTTTCAGCAAATATGTGATTGCACTTTTCATTGAGAACATTCTGTTCAGTCTTTATTAAGAAAACGTTCTAAGTTTTAATCATGAGAGGTCCAGAAAGATGCAACTAAACAATTATACAGTGATTTATAATTAAAGCGGTTTTCTTGGAGCCAAACAGCACTGCTTTATACTGTATAGGGTTCTGACTAGAGGGACCATTTTTCTGCCCCAGTATAGCAATTCTTATTTCCCCACTGAGTTGACAGACTCAAGTAATATTAAGGTGCCCACTCCTGCAGGTTCAAACATGCTAGAGAAGTTTGAGAACATGGGTCCTTTGTTTCTGCTGGGAGCATAATGATAGCTACTAAAGTCCTTTCTTGAACTACAAATCACTCCACTAAGGGTGGTGTCTACACAGCAAGTAGGTACCCATGGCTGGCCCATGCCAGCTGACTTAGGCTAGGGTCGCGAGGCTGTTTCATAGCTGTGTAGACTTCTGGGCTTGGCTTCCAGCCCAAGCTCTGGGAACCTCCCGCCTTGCAGGTCCCACAGCCAGGGCTGCAGCCTGAGCCCAGAAGTCTACACAGCCCTGAAACAGCCCTGCAGCCCAAGCCCCATGAGTCAAAGTCGGTTGGCACGGGCCACCCACAGGTGTGTAGTTGCTGTGTAGACATACCCTAACAGACTTCCAGCAACTGTGCTCCCCTGTCTCTTGCATTAGAGGCCATTCCACTTGGACTATCAGAGTGGAGAAGCATTCAACTGTAAATCTGAGAGCGCAGAAACATGAAAGACTACCTATGCTTTTCATCCAACACTATAATATTCAGCATGGGTCTATATCAATCTAAAGAACAGTAAACAGTTTTCTCTCAATTATTTTAAAGGTATGTTTCCCTTAGTATTTTGATACAGCCACTCCAATTTACATACCAAGCTTCAGCCAAAACCATTTATAGCTCAATTTTAAATCCTACAGATCATCAATCCTACAGTTTTTCTTCAGACTTGAACAAAGCCATCAAATTCATCCAAAACAGCAGTAGAGTAAAAAGAGGGAAAGCATTTTAATCAATGAGACTCTCAATCTGAAATAAGTAAAACCAAAACTTGTCAAGAGTTGTAAAGGGAAGTTTTAAATATTTCAGCTCTAGTCTGGGAAGTTCCCTACGTAAACATTTTATATTTCCTCTTCAGAGATATTACAATAGTGCTATTCAGAAGGAATAACTAATTAGCTTAGTTAAACAGCTGTTCAAGTTATTCTATTCCTACACAAAAACTTCACTAAGGTTCTTGCTGTATGAGAGTGCATATTTTCCTTTAAAAAAAGACTTTTACTGTCCAATTCACTTGTCAAACTCACTTCTAATTTTACAGAAACAACCTTAGCCTCAGATCTAATCTAACAATTAGACCAATATAACTTTTTGTGGATTTTTTGGGAGGGAAAAATCTGTAATGGAACCTCAATTGTAACCCTAAATATGAGGCAACAACTGTGGCTCCATAATACATTTAGCTGATTTAGGGACCACATCTACATTCTGCTCTATTTCTTTAGCATGAATGTCTAAAGCTAAGTAAATAATTTCATACTTGTGCTTAGCAGTTTATAAGCATCTCATCTTTTTCCACATGCTGTAGATGTAATCTAGGCAGAAAAGTGGATTAATGCAAATGCTGAACAAGCCAAATTTGCAAATAGATTTGGAATCGCCATCTTTTGGAAGATCGAGGGTTAAAACAAACACAGCTGTTTTATACCTCCTGGCATCTCCAACATACATAGGATCAAAGTTTCATTAAGCTATCCTGAACTGCAAAATAAAAGCTGAAAAGATCAGCTCCTATATCCAGAATTGCTTATACGTATATTGTATGTAGATATATAGCATTAACTACAGACTGTAGTGAGATACCGAAACACCAAGTACATAGTCACTGACAAACAGTACTGTATTTTTTTTTATATAGATGTAACAGAATGTAAAGGTGAGAACAGGGATCAGAACTCATGTACCCCATACCACCTACAAGGCCTTCAGTTTCCTCCATCCTTTTCTCCCCTATGTTTAATCCTATTAGATGTTTCAGTTTTGAAGACAAAGTATTTAGTTTCAAAGGTTATCACAAACTAAAGTAACTACACACTTTCAAATCTCCTCCAATTTCAGCATCCAACTACTAACTGAACTGTTTTTAAAAATAAATCCTGAAGGAGTAAGGAACTGAACAATGAAGAAAAGTCACAAGCAGCACATTTGAGATTAATTTTTAATTGCTGCAAAAACAATTGTAAAGGGAAAAGGGATTCAAATTTTACAAGTCATTTTCAACATTAATGACCACGAAGGAAACAGTATTGTTTCTCTTCTACACATTTTCAGAAAGTAAATTAGAATATCCTCATATCTGTAACAGAGAGCGACAGGATAAAGACATTTCAACATAATCAGGCTGGTTCTCTGTCAGCTGTAAGAACTGCAGATTGTATCATTACCATGTCACTTAGTAATCTGAGAACACACCAGAACTCATATGGACTTTATTCAAACAAACAAGACAAACAGCTTATTATTTCACTGTACTCACCATTTCCATGGAATTCTATTAAATGAGGGATCATTCATAACATGCTTAAAGATTTTCATGGCTTTCTTCAAATGTCGTGCAAGTGCTCGAGAGAAAACTCCAGAAAAGGCCTTGACCTAATCATTTTTAACTGAACTGCTACCTTAAACAAATCATTTTTGTCTGAAGTAGATATCCAGTTGAATGTTTCAAATAGTCCTGATAAAATGTTTTTGCTGCTTCACAGAAAAATTCCTTATCAAAGTGCTACAAAAAAGTATTTAGACGCATCGTAATGTCTTTCATTGGCAAAAACCCCATTCAAAAAAGTTTAACTGAGCCTAAAAGCTACCAAAAATATAGTATTTAAACAAAAATACAGTATTTGATTTCATTAAAATTTATTCCATTCAGTCATTTCAATAGCTTTTCCACAAACTCACTCTTCAATTCTGTCAAACACTAGCAATGTAAAAAGACTCAGATTTTGTGCTTTTATACCAACTGCTGCCTTTGCACTCTATTCTAGGATTTTCTGTTACATTTCTCTTGCTGAAAGTATTTTAAATGACAATCTGGAAAAAAATCTGACTTTAAAAATACAATTCTTAAAAGCTGAAACTATCATTTACAGTTTAGATTTCTAAACAGCCTTTCTCTCGTGTGACCTGAGAATGTCCTTATCTCCCCAGCAATTCTGAACACTGCATGAGCTGTCTTTTTCTTGGCAATCAGAGTGCTCTTAGTACTGCCTACAGTCTCTGTACTGGACTAATCTTGACATGCTATCATTATATTGTACAGCTCTGAGTCAGCCCATGGGGAGGAGTATATTTGCCACAATCAGGTGGTGAAATACATGATGTAAGCAAAATTTTAAACAAATTACAATCAGAGCCACAGACTCCTGTTGACAGAGGGCGAAAGGAAGTTAAAGACCTGCCTACACATTACAATTTCCTCCACACCCTCACTGGAAAAATCACCAACACACTGCGGAAAAATTACTACTTTAAATGCACATTTAAAAATCCAGATCACTTCACTTTGTAAATTTTTAAATTAAAAATTAGAACAACAGTGCACCCACCAACTTATTTTAAAGAGATATTTACCAAGATGGTTAGTCCAAATTGGTATTTATCTTCTCTCATATCCCACTCCTATTTACCAAATTAGGAATGAATTCAGTGTCTGCTCAAGAGAAATAGGCATTATTTTTATGCTATGCAACTGATGTCCACAGGCCGACACCACCTGAATAATTGAAGTAATGCCTTGTTTCTGCACTAACTTTACCAGCAGAGCATGAGATAGGCAAAATTGCCTGGTTGAGCTTAGTTTCACCTACAGCAGGTGTCACAGGCAAAACGCTTCAATTCATGAGCATGCACCTACAGTATTGTAACTCTAGAACTATCAGCTTGAAACTAAGACGCACAGGGGAAGTGTTTACCACACTATGATACCAATTAGCAGTTTCTGCACTTTACAATGCCTATGCAAATCTTTGTGTCCCCCCAGTCTTTAAATGGAGAAAAATGCCAGTTTATAGGTAGAGTAACACAAGAATGCCAACAGTAAAGAATAAAATAAAGGATGAGAAAGAAATCGGGTAAAACCACCAACAGCCTCAATTTTCAAACATCTACTACTCCTCAAATTCACATAATATTGCGATTCTTTTCAGAAAACAATTCTCTCCATTATAACTTTAAACTTCAAATCAATGAAGAAGGATTCCATCACTATCAGATAGTATTGTGCTAAAAAAAGAATCCCTTCCAATGAAGCTCAATCTCCATCAGTGACAAAAGTCAGGGCTGCCGGAGGGGGGGGGGGCAAGTGGGGCAATTTGCCCCAGGCCCCACAGGGACCCCCACGAGAATATAGTAGTCTATCGTATTGCAACTTTTTTTTATGGAAGGGACCCCCAAAATTGCTTTGCCCCAGGCCCCCTGAATCCTCTGGGCGGCCCTGACAAAAGTTCTTTTCTATGTAATTCACATCAGATACCAAGAATTACAGATTATGTGTGATTTCCCAGAATATAACTAATGTACTTAATACTGTTTGAATTCCCTGCATTATTCTAAGTGAAATGGCTCATGCCCTTTGCCAACTGGAAATAAACTTATTGGAAAATTGGCAATGTGGGCCATAAATATACCCTATATATAAATAAGGACAAGTTGTTACAAGTTATTCAGTTGTAATTCTGCTAAGAAGCTAAAAACCAAAGAATCCTGACAAATGTATCTTTAGAGAAGCTGTACTACGAGATCAAACTATTTTAGAAATACATTAAGATTACTTATTTAATTGAGGTATTACATATTTTGATTAAATAAACCATCAAATGCTTAGGTATGAAATTTAGAATAATTTTGCCAAGCCACATTTATATCCTCCAATTCTGGATCTTTAACCTCCAATACAAAGCCAGTTTTCACCAGTCTAGAAAAGAATACTATCAGAGTGTGGCAGTCTATGACCACAATAATGGCAGTGCAACATGCTGCAGTGGGTCAGACCTACGACAATTCATTAAAAAAAAAAAAAAAAAAACCAAAAAACTAAAAAAACAAAAAAAACAAAAAAAATGTTTATAAACAAAAAAAAAAAATAGAAAAAACCAAAAAAAATAAAAAAAAAAAAAAAAAAAAATAGCTAAGTTGCTATAAAAGCAACAATTGCATTATAAACTTTTTAAACACAAAGCATTAATAGAGGAAACTTGGAGGTAACTTGACTACAGCAATACAAACAAAGCCACTACAGAAAATTTGCTAGAGAAACAGAGACTAAAACAAAACTGCATAACCTTGGACATGAAGGGACATTGTCAATTTGAAAGCTAGTTAATTTTTTAGAAAATTAGTTAAAAGCAGTTCAGGTACTACACCTGCCCTCTGCATTCACCAGGACTTCCAACTTTGCTAACAATGTTTAAGGCAGGAAGTTTTTGGAGAGTGCTGGGGACAACTTCCTGGTGCAAGTGTTGGAGGAATCAACTAGGGCAAGCAGGGAAGAAATGGTAAGAGAAGTAGAAGTGGGTGGCAACCTGGGCAGCAGTGACCATGAGATGGTCGAGTTCAGGATCCTGACAAAAGGAAGAAAGGAGAGCAGCAGAATACGGACCCTGGACTTCAAAAAGCAGACTTTGACTCCCTCAGGGAATTGATGGGCAGGATCCCCTGGGAGGCTAATATGAGGGGGAAAGGAGTCCACGAGAGCTGGCTGTATTTTAAAGAAGCATTATTGAGGGAGCAGGAACAAACCATCCCAATGTGCAGAAAGAATAGCAAATATCGCAGGCGACCAAGTTGGCTTAACAGAGAAATCTTCGGTGAGCTTAAATACAAAAGGAAGCTTACAAGAAGTGGAAACTTGGACAGATGCCTAGAGAGGACTATAAAAATATTGCTCGAGCATGCAGGGGTGTAATCAGGAAGGCCAAAGCACAATTAGAGTTGCAGCTAGCAAGGGATCTGAAGAGTAACAAGAAGGATTTCTACAGGTATGTCAGCAACAAGAAGGTAGTCAGGGAAAATGTGGGACCCTTACTGAACCTAGTGACAGATGATGTGGATAAAGCTGAAGTACTCAATGCTTTTTTTTGCCTCGGTCTTCACAGACAAGGTCAGCTCCCAGACTGCTACACTGGGCAGCACAGCATGGGGAGGAGGTGAGCAGCCCTCAGTGGTGAAAGAACAGGATAAGGACTATTTAGAAAAGCAGGACATACACAAGTCCATGGGTCCGCATCTAATGTATCCAAGGGTGCTGAGGGAGTTGGCTGATATGATTGCAGAGCTGGGAAGAAAGTGGTGTATTCCTGAAACACTTTGTTAAAGCAACCCCTAAAGAAATATAACCCAGATAACTGGCTGCTGTCAGTAACAGCACAAGAAAAGCTAGTTAAACATGGGGAGAAGCAGAAATATGACTGAGAGATACTGCGTAAGTGTGATTTTTAAGTTGACAAAAAAATATGAATCACAAAGAGATATAAGGTGGGTATACCAATGACTTTACAAGACTGTATTTATATGTTTTTCCAAATCACAAAGATTAAGCCAATAGGCACACTGATTTTACTTTTAAGAGTCCAGTTCAATATACACTATCTGTCCTCTTCACAAGATGATTTTTCAGGGCTTGTGTGGTGCAAATGGTACATAGATTTTTGGCTGCATCAGACCCTACACAGGCACTTCTTAAGCTAACTGAAAAAATCTTTGTTTAAGCACCGGGTAAAATACAGTGGATATTGATTAAAAAGACAGACCAAGATATTCTCCTGAACGTAGGACGATAATACTGTGCATCTGAAAAAGAGGTACTTACATTATAGTTTTAGGGTTTTGCAGCATACATGCCTTTGGTCCAAATGTGGTCACTGGGCATGGTCCATGCAAGGAGCGTGTCCTCCTGAAAAATGAAACACATGTAAGGAATGCGGAATATAATTCATTCCTACTTCATTATCCAAATTACCTGTGTCTTTGAAGTAGTTATGGTAAAAAAGAAGGGTGGGGGAAATTACACTTCTAAAGTCTCAGTATGCAGCTGATCAGCAAGTCAGTGTAATTCTACACAAATAAAGTTAAAATGCAGTTGCTGGTATCTACAGGGCTGCATTTGAGCACCATATGTTGACTTCAGTGATTATTGCAGTTGAAGCATTAGTAAAAGCTCATCTAGTCTGTGTATAGCATGTAGAAATACTACTACCCTTCTAGTATCCTAGTACTGTACCAAACAGACTTACTTGACTTGTTCCAGCTTCACCTCCATTCCCTACACAGGAAACACCACAACTCAATAATGCCAGAGTGACAGTGAAGTTTCCCCTACACAGTTCTGCCAGTGCACGTCAATCCTGACCCGCAACATTCCTGTTATTTCAGTCCTGGTTTTTCCTGAGCAAAGGCTAGTAGATGTGCTGTTATGTAATGGGACAAAAGTCCACTAGAGATAGTAGGTGAAGATCAAACTCACTTGACTGTGACAATCAAGTCTTGAGCATAAAAACGAAAGACTAAAATCAACAATATAAACTTCAAATTCTTCTTGACAGTGTGAAAAGTGAAAGCATACATTGTTAAAAAACTAAACTCCCATATCAGAATTAAAAATACATAATTCTTGAAAGTCAACTTTTAGGGGTTTTTTTCCCAAACTACTGTAAAGAATATGAATGACTAGTAGACAGGTTTTTCCAATCACACAACATGAATCCTAAACCAATACTTAAGCAACAACCACCAACAATAAGAATCTAGAGCAGGGGTAGGCAACCTACGGCACGCGTGCCAAAGGCGGAACGCGAGCTGATTTTCAGTGGCACTCACACTGCCCAGGTCCTGGCCACCAGTCCGGGGGGCTCTGCATTTTAATTTAATTTTAAATGAAGCTTCTTAAACATTTTAAATACCTTATTTACTTTATATACAACAGTTTAGTTATATATTATAGATTTATAGAAAGAGACCTTCTAAAAACGTTAAAATGTTTTACTGGCATGCGAAACTTTAAATTAGAGTGAATAAATGAAGACTCGGCACACCACTTCTGAAAGGTTGCCGACCCCTGATATAGAGAATTAAAGAGTGTTCAGCTGTTGGATCGACCAGGTGATTACAGCTTTTTAGGTAGTGCAGCAAAGTTCCTGAAGTTACAGCACAACATTAAGACACTACGCTACCTGAGACTCTCAGCGAATTTTTGAAGAAGGCTTTACTAAAAGACAAGCAAAACAGCGCATATATTCCAGTTGTAATATTGCCCAGCAAAACAAACAAACAAACAAAAAACAACGTCTGTGTTCTGTCTTTGTTATATAGTTCAATAGTTTCATGGCCTTCACTAAACATTTTGCAACAGAACAAGTGTGCCTAGTTAAATATTTAAAATGCTAAGAAGGAAAGCTACCAGGGCTTCCTTCATACCGGATCTTAGGACATATGCACTTTAAATGATAAAAGTATTTTAGCACAAATTAAGTGTTCTCCAAACAAACAACATACAAAACAGCTGTAGATACACATTCAGAACTTCAAAGCCAAAGACCAAAACCTATTCTTTCATATCTTTTTATTTTCTCAGGCCATGCTCCAGGGAGACACTGCAGTAACTGGTAGTTTTTATGATTAGACAGCTGTAAAGACTGCCTTGAATCAGTTCCCAAAGGACTTCAGTCCATATAACCACAAACACATTCATCCTAATTCAGCACACTTGTTTCCTAATTTTCTTAAAACACTACACCTTTGTTAAAGCAGATCCTACAGAAAAGGCAATAGTATCCAATTTTAGAACTAATAAGCTATGCAAAATGATTGATACATATTGTATAGATACACAACACCCACCCCTAAAAATATATTCTTAACAGGTATGCATATTTAAAAAGTACCCTATGTTTTAAACTGAGACATGCAGTGTGATCCTTGATAACCATTTTTGATAAAATTCACCATGCCTGGATACATTTTCAGGTCTTCGGCAATGTAAAAGCCAAAATGATTTAATCCCCGTTGTATTAATTTAGATGGAATAAATGGACCAAAGGTGTTAACATAACTTAATCTATGTCCCTTTCTCTGGCCCAGTCTGGTCAGGACATCCCTCAGGATTAGAATAAAAAAAGGTCCAGACACTGAGAAGATAGTGGGGGTGCCAGACATGATGGTGAAGCTTGCTCAGTAGCTTTGGTTTGTTCTCCTTCAGTGTTCTTCCTTTACCCACCCAGCCCCTCCAAAAAAAAATTTCTTTTAAGGATCCAAAAAGTGAGTGATGGGTAGAATAGCCCATCCCCTCATTATTTTGTCCACCAATTAGGCCTAATATCCGACACACCAATTTTGGTTCATTAACTTTTGGCTCCACATATCGGTTTTTAACAAGCATAACTTCAACAGTCCTTGGATTAAATCAATGTGGCATCTTTGGTTTTGACTAATCCAGTTTCTCTGGTTCTCATCCACATCTGTTATTATAGATTGTGACATTTTATAATTTAGACTCACTTCTTACAAATTGAACTCATGATTAGGGTAAATTTGTAGGCCTTATTATCACAACAGCCCCAATCCTGCAAACACTTAGGCACTTTAAACATTAAATCAACGGGACTGCTCATGGTAGTAAAGTTAAGCATGTGTATATTTGCAGTATCAGGGCCTTGTGCATGTCCTGAATTACTAGTATTTTTCTTACAAGAGTTTTGTTTGGCACGTTAAAAAAAAGCTTCCTTTTCTCTCCATCACCAGCCACTGAAAGAATTCTTGCATAGTCAAAGGCTAAAGAAGCCAAATTAAGTGCAACTTCTGATAATTAACTGAATTATTATGTGGAAAAATACTATAAAATGATGCAGACAGGTGGCCAATGACTAGAGAAATCTTTCAGTACCATCACCACTGAGAAATAGTGGATTGGAATTATGCAATCACGTTTAAAGGAGGGCACATGGAGATACATAGAATATCAAATGCAAAAAATTCCTACTTTACCATCAATCTGTCTTGTTTGTTTGTTAACATTAATCTTTCCATCAACTGCACTATGACAAAGGCAGTAACTAGTTGATTTACACAGTTTGTAAAGGAATCCCAAATGAGGGGAAAAAACAAACAAAATTCACAATTTCTGGATTCAGCAATATTAGCATTTTCTCTCTAGTATAAGGGGAGGAAGGCAAGTGATGGAGAGTTGATACACACACTTTTCTGCTGTGGACATTCTAGTCCCAAACCAATTTTTAAAAAATTATTATTTGTTGATAGTCTGTGGTCAAATCACGTGAACAGATTGTATGGAATTTAAGAATGAATATGTCGGCATGTCACAGAGCCAGTAGACTTTTGATTGATAAAATATAAAACTGCATTTCAATAGCATTTTTCAGAGGATCAAAGTGCTTTACAAACATAAGCAAAGCCTAACATTGGCTAGATACCCATTTAAAGATTAACTTCAGGCACAGAGAGGTTATATAACTTATCAAGGTGTCACAGAAAGTTAATGGCACAACTGGAAATATAATTTAGTAATCTTGGTTGCCATTAGGGTCAAATGAGCTCCCAACCCATTTAGAAATAGAGTGACTTGACAAAAAATAAATGTGGCAGTGAAGATTGGATGAAATTTTCATGGCATCTCAAGACTGATCTAGATAGTATCAAATGTGATGATGTTTCGGAGATAGTAATAGGCCAATTTGGAGGCCTGGGAAAATGTGTCTACACCTGCAGCAGTGGATTTCAGAGCCTGGTTCAACAGACTCAAACTTGTGCTACAGTGTTAAAAACAGCCACACAGATGTTCTTACTCTGGGTCTGAAACCCACTCCACTCCCCAAGTTTCAGAACCTGAGCAGGGGCATCTACATGGCTATTTTTAGCACTGCAGTGTGAGCTCAAGTCTGTAGAACCCGGGCTCTGAGAACTGCTGTCATGGGGGGTTATTTTGGCAATGAAGACATGCCCTAAGAAGCATAAAGGACAGCATGTGCAGGATTAAGCCAAACACAGGATATGAGTCGACAGTGTGCCCTTGTTGCCAAGAAGGCTAACGGCATTTTGGGCTGTATAAGTAGAAGCATTGCCAGCAGATCGAGGGACATGATCATTCCCCGCTATTCGACATTGGTGAGGCCTCATCTGGAGTACTGTGTCCAGCTTTGGGCTCCACACTACAAGAAGGATGTGGAAAAATTGGAAAGAGTCCAGCGGAGGTCAACAAAAATGATTAGGGGGCTGGAGCACATGACTTACGAGGAGAGGCTGAGGGAACTGGGATTGTTTAGTCTGCAGAAGAGAAGAATGAGGAGTGATCTGATAGCTGCTTTCAACTACCTGAAAGTGGGTTCCAAAGAGGATGGATCTAGACTGTTCTCAGTGGTAGCAGATGACAGAACAAGGAGTAATGGTCTCAAGTTGCAGTGGGGGAGGTTTAGGTTGGATATTAGGAAAAACTTTTTCACTAGGACGGTGGTGAAGCACTGGAATAGCTTACCTCGGTAGGTGGTGGAATCTCCATCCTTAGAGGTTTTTAAGGCCAGGCTTGACAAAGCCCTGGCTGGGATGATTTAGTTGGGGATTGGTCCTGCTTTGAGCACGGGGTTGGACTTGATGACCGCCTGAGGTCCCTTCTAACCCTGATATTCTATGATTCTATGACCCCCCTACAGAGTCCCATTACCGTTGCATCCAGAACCCCCCAACAAGCCCCCGTGCATCCAGATTCCCCCCGCACCTGGATCCCCCACTGAGCTGCCCACACCCAGATTGCCCCACATAGAACCCTCTCAACCCATACCTTAACCCCCACACATATTAAGCCCCTCCACACTTGGATCCTGCCTTGCTGAGCCTGCCTGACCACACCTGGTGCACCTGGCACAGAGGGGCAGGGTCCAGGGGTGTGTCAGGGTTGGGTGCAGTCTCACCACTGAGTCTGTGTCCGGGGGGGGGGGGGGGGGGGGGGGGGGGGGGGGGGGGGGGGGGGGGGGAGAGAAGGGGAAAGGGAAGGGGGGCAGGGAGAGCTGCACAGTTATGGGGGGGAAGAGAAGGGGAAAGGGAAGGGGGGCAGGGGGAGCTGCACAGTTATCTCCCACCTCTGTGCAGCCAGTGGCCTGTACTCCCCAGTACCATGCTGGAGCCTCCACATTTATTTGACAAATAAAATTTGCAGAATGCCCACAGGAGTAAAAGACTGCTGCCGAGGGGCTTGGTTGTCAGACCATCAGAAATGCCTCCAGGGCCAGAAAACTTCTATAAGCACTGGTTCTGGCTCAGAAATTGGAAAAAAACAGATTCCTAATTTTTCAGCAAATGAAATGCTGAAGAACCCAGCTTTCTAAGCATTTTTATGCAGGTGACCATGAGTCCCTTGGTCCTTATTGTGAAGTAAAAGCAACATAAAGCTAAGACAGGCAGGGTGTGGAGATCAAGAAAGACTTTTTCCTTGCAACTTTTATTTTGAGTAAATATTCGCCAACCATTACATATTACTTTATCCCATAATTCATTCATATAATCTAAGAGGTGTATTTATTTCCTCAGCCTCAAAGAGTTGAGGCAGTAACTTGCAAAACTTTGCAGAGTAAGATACCAAACATACCCAAATGAGTGAAGAATTGGGGCAAGCATTTCCAGTGTAATTGCAAAAGGTTCTGATTTTTGTTTTGTACATTTAATAGAAGGATTAGATTAACTATTCTTGCATTACACCTCCAATGGAAATTTGAGTTCTGAATTTCAATTTAGCCTCAAACAAAAAGGGGCATGGTCTAGTGGCCTGAATGTGGGACTAATACCAGTTCTAACACAAGTTTACCTTGGAGAAGTCACAACCTTTCTGCCTCAGCTTCCACCCGCCTCCCCCAACCTGTAAAATGTGGATAAAGTTTACCTACCTCCCATATCTATTGGAACAATTAGCTAATGATTGTAAAGCACTATGTAAATGTTACCATAAGCATTATAGTCATTCCCACTGAAAAGTGACAACAGGGAAATATGCCTCTCCTGTTCCTGATTAATTCATGTAATGTGCTGACTCATTCCCAGCCCCAGAGAATTTACGATCTGCCAAAATACAAAATTAGATGAACAGTGGAAGAAAGAGATACAACATACAAGCAAGTGATTGTGGTGACATCCTGTTATTTCCACATTTTTAAAAAAGTTTGAATAAAATTTGTATTCTACTAACAAAAACAAATATAACAATTTCCCCCTTTCCAGCAGGCCAATAAAACTGCATTTGTTGATATCAGAGACACATGATGGGTGAAGTAATATCTCTTATTGGACCAACTTCTGTTGGTGAAAAAGACAACTTTTGAGTTTACACAGAACTCTTCTTCAAGGTGACTTAACTGATGTGTCAGTACAATGTATTAGTATAAATTTCAAGCATTGCTGAGCCTATCGGAGGAGGAGACATTAACAGATATTTTTATACTTATCCTTATTTATTCTATTAGCAAGAAGAAAAACAAACATACAAGGACTTTAATTACACTATTTCTGAATAGTATATTAAGGATGAACAAGAATTACAAGTATATGTAGGGGAATGAAGGCAGCACTGATAAAAAGTCTCCATACATTTTGAAATGATCATATTTTAAATTAGGATAGTAAACTATTCCCTTGCCTATGTCCCCTCCCACAGCTTCCACTCCACTCAAATTCCTCCCCCCCCACCCCAATTGTTCTGTCCCTTTCACCTGCATATTTTATCAAACCTTAAAGAGTGGCATGAAAGAAACTCCTTCCTGCTCCTCCTACAAAGGGCAACCTCTAAATACCTCTGTTCCCACATGGCATTCAAGCAATGAAAGTTATACACAACTCTACGTGTTTGCAGTATTACAACATTGTGCACTGTATGGATTTGTATCTTTAAGGACCTGATCCTGCATGCTGGATCATAACCTCAACTCCTGTGGCATTCATTGAGAATAGAAGCAGCTCAGAAGCTTAGAGGATCAGATCCTCAACTCTGATGAAGAAATTCATATTTGATACAATTTACCCAAATGTACAGCACCATGTACATCTTTCTAAGGCACTATATAATTAAAATAGGTTTTAGGTAAGGGTGTTATCAGGATCGAATACATGTGCCATTTAATCAAAGGATAAGATTCTTTTATTAAGTGAATAGAGATAAGAAGGTATTACTAACATTTTCTATTCTATTTATAATGTACTAATGTGCTTTAGAAATGTATTGAACTGTGTGGAGAGAGAGCCTGCTAAGTTGATACATAGAGAGAAGTACTCAGTTACAAATACTGCACAGCAAATCTAAGATAATTTTAATTTGACATTTTACAAATTCCTTTGAACTGGTGGTGAAAGTATCACAAAACCAGCCAAAGAGTGACTTAATTAATGAAATATCTTTTTAAGTAGTAAACCTCATTCAAACCACGAATGGATATATATCCCTGACTGCAAAGATAGATTGTAGTTTCAGAGCAATTTCTATCCATCAGAGAGCAAGCTAAACAAAAGAAAATGGAAACAAATTAAGAAATGTGTGTCCAATAGAAAAAAAGCAGGTTTCCTAACTAAAAAAAATAAAATAAATAATGACTTGGAAATATTCACACCTAGAAAGAGAGCAGAATTTAGGCAAACTGGCCTTTTACTCATGTAGACTAATATTAGGTGTTTAAAATCCTATGAACACAATCAAATTTCTGCACTTAAATGCTATTAATTATAGGATACATTTCTACATAAATACTTTGTTTTCTTATATTGTACTATGCAGTCCATAGGCAATAACAGGAAACTCCAAGCATTAAAAGGTTTCCACTGACCCTGCAAGAACATCCTCCAAAAATTTTTAAGTACATTAGCTTTATGTCCCTAAAGAAACTCCACAGAAGCTGCACTTGTTAGAAAACATTTAATTAGCTTACAGTCTGTTTTGAGATCCTCCTGTCTTTGATTTGGGATTCCCTCTCCCCCAACCCCTTTTTCCCCACCCTTATAGTCTCACCTACAAATGCTCCACATTGCAGCAACAATACTGCTAGCAACACAGTTTGGATGGGGGAGACAATCCTCTCTGGTAAGCAGCTCCTTTAGAATCTTGTCCATGCCCCTCAGGCATCTGGAGGGTCAGAGTTCATTAGTGCGAGGTACTCCCTCCCTCCCTCGGCAAAGCATACTGCCTCCACAGTACAGTCTTTACCTGCCATTGTTGGTCTGAGGAATGCCACACCAGAAGTTAAATCCAGGTTCCCCATGTGACAGAAGATCATACTAGTAGGTTAACAATCTGGTTCGAGGAAGGCAATAGACTATGATTTTTGAATAAAATGACTTCTGTGCCATCACCCATTACTATACAGCTGAATGCATCCAACCAGGTTCTTCTTACCATGTATGCTAACTCTAAGTGGAGCTGTGCGAAAGAACTGGTATCAAGTCCAGCTCTGCTCCTATAATTTAAGGAAGCCTGAACCTTCCTTTTGGATTATATTACTATCAAGCTATTAAATTAATGTATCTCAATGTCACAATTTGTTCCATACTTCATTTTTGTAAGGTGTGTAGAACGGGAAGTTGGATCCTTTGCATGATGGTTGACTTAAAACTGACAACAATGAAACAAATTGTATCTATCTACTCTGTAAAACACTACAGACCTCTGTTAAATAAAGCCACATGTATCCTTGTAAAATTGTCCCTATAAAGAACTTGCCAGAACTAGAAAAATTACTTGAACGCCTGTATACCTATTTTCTCAGTTATGGGCAAGTTCTTTTAGTATATTATAAACACTGCAGCTATGCACTGCATCCACAATTCCTATGCTTTGTAAGAAAAAAAATGTGAAAAGCTATTACTAGGTTCAAAATTCTCTCTTGAAGCCAGCAGATGATATACCGATGACTTTTTTTCCTTGGTAACATACTTCTAATCTCAGGAGCTATTTAAGGGTTACCTCACTATATAAATAGAGACTAGAAAAGCAAACATAAAACTTGGGTAAATTTCACTTTTGCCCTACTTCTACAAAAGCAGGAAACTTCCTGCTCATTCAGAAAGAATCATCAGCATAGAAGATTCAAGTCTAGTTTATTTCATACCTGAATTCTTTGGTGCTTCCAAGGGCTGGTGAAGCAGACAAACTGCGGGTCTTAGCCCGACCCCGGATAGGGTTAGCACAGCTCCAATCCTCATCATCATGACATGCTGAGCAATGAAAAGCAGATTCAGAGCTCTCATCATCTTTACTGATACAAACGTTTTCTTGTTCTGTCTCCATGGTGGAAGTAAAGGAACTTCAGCTGGGGGAAATACAGCTTCCTTTGGGGAAAGAAGAAGTATGATTTTACTTTATTTCAAATTTTGGAGAGTAACAAACCACAAATTAAATGGACGCTATCTAAGTTCATAGGCATAGAACATGACACACACTTCTCAAGCTATTCTTGAAGAGATTCCCACCCTGCAGGGAATTTCAGTGCTCTGCCAAATCACAAGAAAGAAACCGGCAGTAGAATGGAGGGATTGAGTGAAGTGCATGTGTGTTAATGATGCCGGTTACCTGGGTTGTTTAGGGCCACTTTCGGCTGCAATTTTAAGACCATTACAATCCTATTTTAAAGAGTTGGTAACCACTTTCTGTTATAAAAGGAATACTGGACAAAAGCCAAAAGTCATTCTTAGAAGTAACATATCAAAATCTGCAATTACTATTGTATACTGGATTCATCCTCATCAGGTAAGCGGGACAGATGGGCATCCCTAAGTTGCAATGTACAATACACTTGGTCTTAAGAGCATTTTTAGTAACTGTGAATCCAGACAAGGGGGAACAAGGCATCACATTATGCAGTCCAATACTTTTTTCTACCAAAGCAACGTTATTAGCCCGATATCTCTGTGACCAACAACAAAGCTGTGGAGCAAATGAACAAGAACTAAAAAATTTGGTTAAACAGTTCCAGAACACTGAACTACAGTGGAAGGAATGGACCTGCTAAAGTAAAAAAATTAAAACATTTTGAGAGAATTTGGATAGTTTACTGAAACTATATATATATATATATATATATATATATATTATATAAAAACAAAAACAAAAACAAACAAAAAAAAAAACACACAACCCTGTGATTAGTTTGGGATCTCTATTCTTCTTGTTGCTCCCACCACTTCCAGCAATGTAACTTCAGGCACAGCTCCCATCTGAGACTCAGGCCTGGTCTACACTACGACTTTAATTCGGATTTAGCTGCGTTAATCCGAATTAACCCTTCACCCGTCCACACTACAGAGCCAGTTAATTCGAATTAAAGGGCACTTAAAATCGATTTCTGTACTCCACCTCGACGAGCGGAGTAGCGCCAAAATCGATTTTGTTAATTCGAATTAGGGTTAGTGTGGCCGCACACCACCGAATTAATGTGGTTAAATTAATGGGGTAGTGTGGCCGCACACGACCGAATTAATGTGGTTAAAAACCGAATTAATGTGCTTAGTGTGGCCGCGCACAATCGAATTTATACAACCTGTTTCCCAAATTCGAATTATCTAAATTCGGATTAATCCCGTAGTGTAGACATACCCTAAGCAACTAGCAGAATGTCAGGAACAGCATTGCTGTGGACCTGAAAAAGGAACTCTAAGTGGACTGACTTTCTTAAAACCCTATTTAGAGAAGGTGGGGCCCTGCCAGGCACACAAGTCTCAAGTCTGAGCATATAGTTTTACACGGGGTAGATTTCTAGCCTTTAAAAAAAAAAAAAAAAAAAACACGAATTTCAAGAAGACAAAACTGGCATTGATGCCAACTCTACTGAACACAAGAATAAAGTATGAAATAATCCTGCACTGTCAGGGAAATAAATGGATAAAATGATCTACTAGGTCTTTCCCACCTTCAAGATCGATGAGTCTACCAATCTGTTAACAGAACTTCCTTCTGAAAGTCTGCTACAACATCAATATATATTTTTAGTCACATTTGGTAGATAACGAGTTACATACGAGTAGCTTCTCTACATAAAACATTATACACTTCCTCCTTAGAGAATGTAATATAACAATGGAATAAGCCAACTCATTTTAAGTCCTTGAAATGTTTACTTTCCCCACAAATGTTAAGAATCTACATTTGCGCATATCCATATCTGAATATAGCTGATGAAGAATCCTTCTCTATATATAAACAGCAAACAAATTTCAGTTTAAAAAGGGAATCTAATCTAAGGATAAACAGCGATTAAAATAATTAAGCTTGGATTAATATTTTATACTTACTCTTTAATAAGATCAACAGAAAATATGTTATCTTGCTATAATATTTGAAGGATTACACTTTTACAACTGCACCTCCTTTTAAACAGATTTCCTAGTACATACTGTGAAGAATGTGATAGTATGGCATATCAATTAGGAAAGACTAATAAACTAGGGAGGTAAAATATTAAACGGTAAGCATTAGTCTTACCAGTTAACCTACCCTAACTATTAACCCCCAGCCTCTCTCCCTTTAATTGGTTAACCAGTTAAACTATATAATTGTAAGCATTTAAATGGTTAATTTTTAAAACAATATTTACATCCCTATGGTAAACAAATATGCTAATAATAGTAATTTGCAGTGATATAGCTGTGCTGATCCCAGGATATTAGAGAAACAAGGTGGGTGAGGTAATATCTTTCCTTCACCCACACAAGTTGGTCCAATAAGACAAGCTTTCGAACTTACACAGAGCTCTTCTTTGGGTCTAGGAAAGGTACTCAGAGTGTATTTTCACACAACTTGTCTTTCTAATGATAGTAAAGATACTTTGACATCCTATAGCACAGTGGTCTCCAACCTTTTTAAGCACAAAATCACTTTTTGAATTTAAGTGCAACTCAGGATCTACCTCAAAGAAAATGTAGAAATAACAGTAATCACACAAACCCGAACACCCTTGCCCCGCCCCCTCCCCAAGGCCCTACTCCGCCCCTTCTCCAAGGCCACATCCCGCTCACTCCATCCCCCCTGCCTCCGTCACTTGCTCTTCCCCACCCTCACTGGGCTGGGACAGGGGTTTGGGATGCGGGCTCTGGGCTGAGCCTGGGGCAGGAGTGCAGGAAGGGGTGCAGGCTCTGGGAGGGGGCTCATGGCTGGGGCAGGGGGTTGGGATGCAGGCTCTGGGAGGGAGTTTAGGTGCAGGGGACTCAGGACTGGAGCAGGAGGTTGGGGGGCAGGAGGGGGTTCAGGGTTGGGGCAGGGGGTTGGGGTGCAGCCTCTGGCCAGGCACCGCTTACCTCAGGCGGATCCCAGGCGGCAGCACAGCGGGACTAAGGCAGGCACCCTGCTTGCCCTGGCCCCGCGCTGCTCCCGGAAATGGCCAGCACATCCCTGCGGTCCCTGGGGGGGCAGAAGGGGTCTCCATGCGCTGCCCGAGCGCTGACTCCGCAGCTCCCATCGGCAGAGAACTACAGCCAATGGGAGCTGCAGGGGCAGAGCCCCCTGCCCACCCCAGGGGCTGCAGGGACATGCTGGCCACTTCCGGGAGCTGCACATGGAGCCCCCTGGCCCCGCTTACCTCAGGCGGCTCCCGGGCAGCCGCACAGCAGGGCTAAGGCAGACTCCCTGCCTACCCTGGCCCTGAGCCACTTCTTGAAGTGGCCAGCTTGTCTGGCAGCGGCTCCGGGGGGGGTGGGGGGGGGCAGAAGGCTCCACACACTGCCCCCATCTGCAGGCACTGCCCCCACAGCTCCCTTTGGCCGCAGTTCCCCGTTCCCAGCCAATGGGAGCTGTGGGGCCGGTGGCTGCAGGCAAGGGCAGCGCGTGGAGACCACCTTTCCCCCTCCACTCCGGAGCAGCTGCCGGACATGCCAGTCACTTCCGGGAGCGGCGCCAGGCCAGGGCAAGCAGGGAGCCTCTGCCTTAGCCCTGCTATGCCACTGGACTGTTAGCAGCTGATCTCCCCGTTTGGCTGCAGGAGGACTGGCATGACAACCCTAGACTGAGACCGAGATCAACTGTCAGAGGCTCCATGATCGACCAGTCGATCATGATCTACTGGTTGGTGACCACTGCTATAGCAACTTTCCAATGGTTTCAAAGTACCTTACAAATATTAAGCCTCACAGCACCCTATTTTAAGATACAGAAATTGCCTCTGGCATGAGATACTGTTTCAAAACTATCACTGGTTCATTACTGACTCCCATGGAAATGACACCTACTGAATCACCAACCTCCACTTCCTTCATTCCTGACATGAATTACATCCCCATTCCATAAGGACACAACTACAAAAATAGATACAATTTAGTGGCATGCATAAGTTATCAATTTATAATGTCCTTCACTTTTCCAAGATACAAACATTTAGTGGCTTAGAGTCACCTATGAACTTGAGCTTGGAAATACTCATTTCAACATACTTTTGACTTTCCTAATATCTAGGAATTTCAGAAGAGGGGCCTGGCTTTTAGACAGACTAAGAGCATAATGGCATACTAATGTGTGTGCCAATTACTTGATTTGTACACACAATTACTGTAATGATGCATATACACACATATACATATACACACACACAAAAGAGTCAGAGTTTGGCTCATATGTACATTAATACTATAGAAATTACTTTTTGACATGGAAAATTATGCATCTAAGCTCTTGTTTGTACCACGGTTTTATACAATTTCTCAAAAGGAGTACTAGCTGCTTCTGAACTAATCAAAATACAAGTCACTTAAAAATTATCTAACTTTATGGAAATAAGCCACTTTAAATATTAGATATTAAATGCCTAAAATAAAATATGAAAGGAGTATTTCAACATATTAGTATTTTAAATGTCATGTGCTGAAAAACCCCTTATTCAGTTTATTTGGGTCCATTCATCACCTTTTAAAGTAGTTATTACAGTATTCTTCAAAGATTCATTTGTTTGAGACAGGTGTTAGTGACACCAAACATCTGTTTTGATATAATCCTGGACTGTATTCTGAATTATGTAAAATAACCTTCCCACAGCAAATGCCAGGAAGTTTTCATTTAAAATTTTACCTTATGACTTGCATATAAAGTATAACCAAGATTATATTTCAGTTTAGACGGTCACCAAGAAAGCCCTACAGAAAGTTAGAAAAACAGAATTCTATTTCTGTCTATGCCTAGTGGTGCTTTTGAAGTGTATGTGATCCCAGTACACTGCATCTATGAATCAACTTAACATTTTAAGACAATCCAATGCCTCAACTACCCTCTACTTCTACCTCTTTGGTGTTTAAGGAATTATTGGTCTGAGTATTAGTAAGTGTTTGAAGTGGATTCCTGTGTTCTTCTAAGCTAATATCAGCCAAACCTGGAGTAACTACAGCAAGTCAAGTGCCTATAGTGCCAAGTGACCAATATGTTTCATTTCTTATGTGGAGCAAAAGCCAAATACTGGTGACAGCTCAATAGCAACTAAAATGACAATCACCCAAGAAGTCTATTTTTTTAATTCATGTGAAATTGTTTTTATGATTGTTATTCAGCACTCCTAGTGATTTTGCCAGGGTGCTTTATAAATAAATTTATTATTAATTACTGAGTATTTATTTTGGCAGCTTGAATACTGTATCATTAGTAAGATCCATTCAGTCTAATGAAAGTGTTCAATTCTTATATTAAATTCACCTAAAAAAGCGTCAGGCAATGATATGTCAAGTTTTCACAACTATTTCACTGTAACATTATCAAAGAGGAAAAAAAGTCTGAACTTTTAAATTCAAAATTATTTATTTTGTATTATCATAGTGCCTAGAAGACCCAGTTATGGGTCAGAACCTCTTATGCTAAGTGCTATACAAATACAGAACATAAAAACAAAAAAATGATAGATTGTAAACTCTTTGGATTAGGGACTAAGTAAAAAGACAAGAAATTGATACAGATGGGGGAGAACAAGGAAACAATGAAACAGTATTGGTCACCATGATAAGCAGTTTCTCAGCACAGCAGCAGCTTAGCCACTCTCAAGTTTTTTATAGGCATCTTGGCAAAATTCTCCTTTGAGGAGATTTTGAAGGAGGCTAATGAGTTAGTTTTGCAGATGTTTATGGGTCACTCCTCCCAAACCTAAGGAGCAGCCTGGGAAAAAGCATGAAGGTGCTTGTTAAAAAATTCAACAAGTGGGCAATGAAGGCTAGCATCTTGGGCCAATCATAAGAGAAGGCTGACATCTCAATACCGAACCAGGGATGATAGGTAAGGTGGGGATAGACCATGAAAGGACAATTGTGCTATTATATTGATCCCTTCATAGTGTGTTTACAATATCTAATACGGTATATACGGGTGTTTCCCTCATTAATACTTTGGGAAGGAGATCAAAGTGAAGTTAGATCAAGAATTGTACAACAGCCTTCATACATATATCATACCATATATACATTTTTATTAGATAACCAGAAATTGTACTGGACATTCAGATCACACCATTTGATCTGTTACAGATCTATTATCATTATTACTGACTTACTGTAATTCTCATAAGGGTAAGAAGACCGTTACATTCAGAAATCATTATCTTAGCTTCCTTTTCTATTAATTTGCATTATGCCTCTTCTGTGTCATTTATTCAGTAACTCAAGGAGTCCTCTTCACCAAGAAGCCAGTCAAATGGAGGATTTCCTTATATAGCCGTTTGCACCCAAAGGTTCCCCTTCAGTCCCACCAACAATGGAGAAGTGTGTGTCAGCTGGACAAGTGTTTGTTTTGTTTTTTTATGTTTTAGTTACAGATTTCCCTCCCACCCACTCATGTGGATGGAGTCAAGAAGTACTGCACGCTACAATCACTGAAAGCACTTGTGACTCGGAAGCATCTTTCCAGTGGATGGTTATACAACTTCTAACTCTTCTATTTCCAGTGAAAAATAGAAAGCACCACTGTAAAGAGTCAAAAATACCCGAGTAGGAACTTTTCTGCAGCAGCCCTCCTCCCCAAGATCATCTGTGCAACACTTCAAGCCACATTCTAGCTGTATTGTTTCTCTTCCTCTTTAATGTAGAGCAAAGATAAAAAGAGCAGATATAACTAGATTGCAAGGCCCAGAACAAAACTGAAATTCCCAGCCACTTCCCCAACAGTTCAACCATCAAGACTGTGTGGTTTAATAAAAAAGAAGCCATGTTATTAACCAGCTAAGAGCTCCTTCATATGACAAGGTGCAATCACAGGCAAGAGGGGGTTATTCTGTCTGTTGAGTAGTCTCTTTTTCCGGCTCTGAGAGCACATCTGTATGTTTCCATTCCCTCAGTGCAGATTTAAGAATGATTATTCTTGGTTCACAGGAACTGTGAGAATGTTATTGTCTGTCAGTGTGTTTCTTAGGCACCACTTGAGACCATCTATGGCTTTGCTAAGGAAACCTGCACTGAAACTAGTTACACCACGAGATACCCTCTATGTAAGATATATATGCACGAACCACATGCCAGCTGGTCACCAGTTTAAGGACCTGTACCAATGAAGCCACATTTGATACACACAGGTCATGAACATTGGAGTGGCACATGGTATGTCCACAGTGCTTCAAGAACCACCAAAAAGACTCAAATATCTTTAGGCTTGGATTGATTATTTTTTATTGGTAAATGTTGGTAAACATCAGTTTCACCACATGCTAACAAAAATATTGACATTTTTAATTATAAATATTGTAATTGAAATTTACAGATCGGCAAAGAACAAAATATGCTGCTTGAGAAGTCAGAGATTGATTTAAGGCTATTTAACTTGTATATTCTGATATGTTGACAATTTATGTTTTAACCATTATAAAGCTTTATTTTTGTGGCTCAGGGTGTCTACTGTCATTAAATTAGTACTGTCGTTACCTGCTGCCCATTATCTGGCCACCCCATAACTTCGCACAACTGTGAAAATTTAAACCAATAAAAATGAAAAAAGGCTTAAAATAAACACGGATACCCATCAAAATGATAAAAGGAAGTAAAACTGAATTCTGCCAAGCCTAACCCTAGAGGCCAGTTGTGTGTCAAGCATCCTCCTGAGGGGCATTGCACGGCTGATGCCAACACACCACCAGCCATCCTGCAGGCACAACAAAATCTGGTGCCCCAGCATGCTCAGCTCCCCCAGGACAGGCCCTTTACCGTGAGACATGGACATCCTCCTTCAGGGGACAACACCGGGCACCCCCACTCCCCAACTGGGAAAGTTACACACCAGGTCCCTGAGCCTGCCTCACAACATCCCACCCGGGGGCACCAGCTGCTGCCCATAAGAAGGCACCACAACAACCCTGGCACTCTGGCTTTGCTATCTCCTAGGAGCAACCCCTCGGCCCTAGGTCTGCCAGGCCCTTCCCGCCTGGCTACCAGCCACCAGGACACCCCCCCCCCCACCCACCCACACACTCCCTTCACCCCTCCCCACTCCATCACCCCCTCCACTTAACCCGCCCGCTCCATTCCCCCACCCCTCCCTCCACTTAACCCGCCCGCTCCATTCCCCCACCCCTCCCACTCCACTCCACTCCATTCCATTCCCCCTCCCCCGCTCACCGCGCGGCGAGCTCTTCCCCCCTCAGAGGCCCGCGTGCCGGAACCGGTGGTATTGGCGACGGTTGCTCCCGTCCAGTGAGTGCGGCCGATAACGCCGGCTCGCCTCCATAGTCCGCCCTAGTTCCTCCGCCTCCTCACGAGACTCAGCCGCAGCCGGGCCCGCGGGGGGAGCCGGCAAAAGAGGAAGGGGGGGGGAAGAGACGACAACCCTGCGCATGCGCGAGACCGCCGCTGTTCCCCATCCAGGAGAAGGAGGCGGTAAGTGCAGCGGGGTTGCATACGCGAGGGTCGGCCCGGAGTCCGAGGGCGGGGACCGAGAGAGGAGACTCACGCTAATACGCATGCGCCAAACTTCCCACGCCGGCGAGAGGGGAGCGAGGCAAAGGCGACGAACAACGACGCGCATGCGCGGGGTGCGGCTGGCTGAGCGCTGGCGCGATCAGCCTGTGTGGGTGCGTGGCGCTGCTTGGGGGGGGGGGAGGCGGCGCGCGGGGGGAGGGGCGGCCGGGGGGGGGTAATGCCGAGTCCAGTGGGTTTGCCCCGCCCTCCGTTGTGGGGCTTTGCTCCATTGCAAGCGCCAGGCGGCCAGGCTGTGCTGGGACAGGGGGGAGTGAGGCTCGTGCTCCTTGGGGTCAGTGCTCTGCACCGAACCCCCCCCGGTCACCGTATTACACATGCTGAGTGTTGCCAATTCCAGGCAGTCATGAACCATGAGTCGGGCATAACAACCCCCACGAGAGCAGCTTAAAAAGCATGAGATTTTTTTTTTAAAGATTAATTTTAGGCTTATTTTATTTCCCCAATTTTTGAGCTTGGGTCACATTTTCAAACATGAGAACTAGAAACTTCTCCCTTTTTAAAAAAAAACAAAGCCAAGGTTTCCATCTCATCACTAGACGGTAGACCGTGAGAGCTGGGGCTGTGGAGAAAACAGCAGACTTGCGGTAAAAGTGCAAGAGTTGACAACATTATTAATGCTGAAAAAATATTTCATTTGTATTACTAAAGCCATACTGTGCTAATCACTGTACAAACATGTAAGAAAAAAAACAGCCTTGCCCAAAATAGTTAACAACTGAAGTTTAAGATGAGAGGCATATTAATTTTATCAGGACATCCCCCAAAAGAATCTAGAAATTCTGCAAATCTCCAGTTCAGTGGATTCCTCCCCTCCAACCCCTTAAACTTCACATATTTAATTACAGTGATACTTGGTCACTTTTTTAGAAATCATGCTAATAGTTTGTGCTCCTTCCTACTACCTTTTATCTGATGCTTGCAAAGTGCTTTATACATCTTCTCTATGCCTCACAAAATCACTGTGAGGAGGGTGTGATGTTGCACTTGATATGCTTTATGGAAATACGCTTATGAATATGACATAACTGGAATATGCTTTATACTAAATACCCCTTGTATGGTGTCATTAGAAAGCTTGTAATCTACTAAGTGTGTTCATCCTATTTGTTTGCATGTATTATTTCTATATCTGGAGTTAGGAGAATAAGATATAAACTTGTATCACTGCTGTAAACATATTAAGTGGAAGCCATTAAGGGTGCTCCAGAAACAATCAGTTGTAAATGGCCTTAGTTACTCGAAAGTCTTCCTGTGTATATGTGGGCCAGCCCATGGGGAACAGAGACTAGGGATGTTACAGTGACATGTGACCATGTCATCTGATAATGAAATCTATCTTAAATCTGGTACTTTTTCATTTAGAAGGAGGGGTGGGGACCCAGAGAGACACAAGATTCCCGCCTTGTGCCAAAGCTATAAAAGGGGGTGGAGCAGGACAAAATGGGCAGCCAGTCATGAGAAAACCCCTGCTTACCACCTGAGATGTCTGATGGAACTAACAGAGACTGTACCAGGGGAAAGGATTGGGCCCAGACTAGGAAGAAGTCTAGTCTGTGAAAGAAGCTTATTCAAACATCTTTGAGGGTGAGATATTACCTGTAATCAGTTTCTTAATGTAGTAGGCTTAGACTTGCATGTTTTGTTTTATTTTGCTTTGTGACTTACTTTGTCCTGGCTGTTATTACTTGAAACCACTTAAATCCTACTTCTTATACTTTATAGAATCATGTTTGTTTATTACTAAACCCAGAGTAAGTGATTAATACCTGGGGGAGCAAACAGTTGTGCATATCTCCCTATCAGTGTTATAGAGGGCAGACAATTTATGAATTTACCCTGTATAAGCTTTATACAGAGTATAACAGATTTATTTGGGGTTTGGATCCCATTGGGAGCTGGGTGTCTGAGTGCTGGAGACAGGTAACCTGCTGAGCTGTTTTTAGTTAGTCTGCAGCTTTGAGGGCGTGGTCCAGACCCTGGGTCTGTTGCAGCAGGCTAGCGTGTCTGGCTCAACAAAGCAGGGTTCTGGAGTCCCAAGCTTGCAGGGAAAACGGGCTCAGAGGTAATTTCAGCACATCAGGTGACAGTCCCAAGGGGATCTCTGTGACCGAACCCATCACAGTGGGAAAATAGTTATCTCCAGAAACAGCAATGAAAGGTGTTGTACAATCTTTAGCAATTACTTCAAGACAAAGGCAGAGCTGAGAGTAGAGTCTGTGATTTCTGATTCCCCATCTCTGCAGTCATCACTTGACCTGGAAAAAAATTCATACTGGTCTTTATGTGACATGACAGTATATAGTACCGTATGCAACCCCAAAGTGAGTGTTATCACTGTGTGATGCCGTACAGGGCATGGACAGTGACTGATGCAGTTACATTTCAAAGCATGGAGCTTCAGATGGATTAAAAATCATCTTAAACCACTTATTTTGTTTAAGTGACTAACCAGCACCCAACTGCAGCCTGTGATGAACACACAATTGGTATCATATCCCTTCAGAACCCTATTCCACCTTCACAGCTGATGGGCATCCATGGTTTGTTGACAATGTTTGGTTGTAATACAGAAGGAAGGCCAAGCTCAAACAAGGCCCTCTGTAATTTGTCCCAGTCTGTACATGGTATGTTGTAATTTTATCAGCAACATCTTTAAAACTTATTGCTTCAATATTTAAATAGGCAAAATACAAACCAGATTCTAATCTGTGTGAGAAGTGCAAGTATAACATATGGGCTGTGTGAGGGGGAAATGAAGTCAATGATGAGATCATGAATAAATATCTTCATATGCTTTACATTGCAATTCAATGTGCAACGGTTAGATCACCTCCCATATATAATAGGGATGTTTTTGGGTGCCCATGTACTTAGCAAATTCCAAGAGTGATTCAGCAATTAATTAGCACAGGTGTTTCTGTAAGTGTGAAATACAACAGTAGGAGAGCAATTCCAGCTTTTAATGATTTTTAAAGGTACACCTGCATGGCCTTGTAATATAATGGCAGTTCCTGGGCTGAAATTTGAATCCTGGTGGGTTTATGACCAGGTTGGCCTATTATTTTGTTCTTTTGTGTTGTGATGGTAGATGGGAAGGGGTTACACAGTCTTTGCTTCTTTCTGTGTCTAGTGATTATTTCTGAAAGGGTAAAACGTGAGTCTACCTTGCAAACAAATATGTCACCAAAATGTACCAGGCATAGAGCATGTGAAAACCACTGTGGTAGTCAAACAGAGTAATGATGGTTCTGGGTCTATAAGACACTCAGTTCCAAGGTTCACTTGAGCATTTGGCATATAGCTAGCTGCTCTTTATTACAGAGTTAGGAATGCTTGGGAGAGTTAGCCATTCCCCCACCATCTTCTTAGAGACTATCAGAAAGGAAAAGATGAGGTGGTGGAGTGGGGTAGTATTAACCTTAAATTAAAGTGTTAACTGGTGTCCTAGGGGACAAATGTCACTCACCAGCCCAAAATTCAGATTTTCTTTTAAAAAAGTATTTCAAAGTTTAATATTCTAGAAAGTTTAAATGAGCTGGGTGCTTTAACTGCAGTTAGGGTGATTTTGCTGTCATCTCGTTCTTATTAGTACTCCTGAGGGAATTCTGCACCAAAAAATTAAAAATTCTGCACACAATATTTTAAAATTCTGCAAATTTTATTTCTCAAATAAAGGTGGAGGCTCCAGCATGGCATTGGAGAGCACAGGCCACTGGCTGCACAGAAGTGGGAGATCACTCTGCAGCTCCCCCCGGGAGACAGACTCAGCTGTGAGGCTGCACCCAACCCTGACACAGCGCAAGGACCGGACCTGCCCCAGAAACACCACAGTGCCCTGCCCCTCCCTGCCAGGTGCACCCAGGTGTGGGCAGGCAGGATCCAAGTGTGGAGGGGCTTAGTGGTAGAGGGGGAGGGGGGAAATCCAGGTGTGGATTGAAAGGCTTCTGTGTGAGGCCATCTGGGTGTGGGTGGCTCAGTGGGGGATCCAGGTACACAGGGGATCTGGATGCACAGGGGCTTGTTGGGAGGTTCTGGATGCAATGGTAATGGGATGCTGGAGGGGGGTTCAGGTGAAGGTGGTTGGGGCTCAGCAGGGGGGATGGAGCTTGGTGGGGAGTCGGTGTCGGGCTCAGTGGGGGAGGTCTGGGTGTGGGGAGATAGAGATCAGCAGGAGAGTCTGGGTGTGGGGGTCTCAGTGGGGGGGTCCAGATGCTGGGGGAGTGGGGCAGTAATCCAGGTGCAGCTTGTTGGGGCTCAGTGGGGTAGGGATCCGGGTGGCTCATCGGGGTGGTGCAGCAGGAGTGGGGCTCCTCAGGGGGGTTCTGTATGTGGAGTGTGAGGCTCAGCGAGAGGGTCTGGGTATGAGGGGTTCTGGATGCACAACAGTTGGGTGGATAGGGGAGCAGGTCCCTGTACAGTGATCCCTCCCCCTGCAGCTGAGGAGCAATGGGTGCAGGAAACGGTGGTGTGGGGGAAGAGTTTGCAAAGATTCCTGCAGCTGGGGGAGAAAGCTGGGGGTGGGTCTGACCCAGCACCGGATGCCGTGCAGGGGAAGAGGAAGTTCTGTCCTACCCTGCCCAGCCATGACTAGCAGCTGAGCCCGGTGCGGGGTAGGAGTCATCAGCCAGGTCTTCCCCAGTTCCGCCCCCTGCCCTACAGTGATTTACCTCTCTGCCGTCTGCCGTGGGTACCCGAAACATACTGCTGTGGAATGTCACATGGCTGCTCTTGTGGCTTCCCTTTGCTTCCCCATCAGAAAGTCATTTTTCTGTGGGGAAGCAAAGAAATCTATGGGGAACATAA